AGTCAGCCAGCTAGTAACGACCTGGATAACTGCCGCGTACCATTTGTGCTTATGTCTGCAGGATATACAAAAACTTAGTCTATGGGCTGCAGATCTTTTACCACGCAGACAGGGCATTGTTCTCTTGGGTCAGGGACGCTCAACCAACAGCCCACCAGCAGTATGTGCCCTGCCAGGACCATTACCCTGGCTTAAGTGCCTCCCTGCACAGCCTCCTTACTCCAAGCTATATATGGGGAGAAGGCTCCAGCAGGACCACTTCTCCACCTTTTCAGCTTGCCTGCGCCTATGCTGCATTTTGCACAGGCGCAATGCAAACGTTACACACCTGCATGCTAATCCAACACCCTAAGGAAGCATCTGCCTTGCTGTCAGCTGTTCGGGGAAGGTCTGTAAGGTGTAACCCTCCCCTGACAACGTTAAAAAGGGTAGGAACCCCTGCTGAGCTCACACACTCCTCTATGTCCAGGCTACAGCTTCCCTCCCTCTGCGTGCATCCCACCGAGTGTGCTCTGTGCACAGCTGGGGTGTGAATGACCTGGGTTGTCCCCATCTCCGTGCCACCTTGCTCTGCAGCAGGTCTGACACAAAAGCTACCTGTTCCTGCTCTCCAGTTGGAGGTACCCTTCTGCCATGTGTGTCCAGGCTGCTTTCCCGCCCTTCCGAAGTCCCGAATCTGCTTTTAAGTTAGTTTTAAGCAGAAGCCTAAAGCACGAATGAAAGAAACATCTGTGGACCAGGCTCTGCAAGCAGCCAGCTTGGAGTAGCGTTTCCCTGGGGCACCTGTGCGAGTGTTATCTCCCAAGGGCTTAAGGGTGCTGGGCATGTGCCCTGTGCTGTGTGTCAAAGTGAGCCAGACATCGTGCAGTGAGGAAAGCAGCCTGCACGCTGCCTCGCAGCACTGTCAGGAGGAGGAAACCCCAGGAAGCATGGATCAGGTCAGGCCCTGATTTAGGAAATGCTGCCGCCATGTCCTTTTAGCAGTACGCTATACCCCCAAAGGGGAAAGAGATTGCATGGCAATTCTGTTGCTGCTGCACCTCCTTGCGAAGCAGGAATCAGGGTCAAAGCCAGCTGTCTGCATGTGAGCGCCGCTGCTTCTGTGCCTGACCTTCCCAGCTGTGTTTGGTGGCACCGCCGCAGCCACAGCTCTTCAGTGAAGCTGCGTTGTGCAGCTCACCAGCAAGGAGATGGACGGAGAGCTGATACTTGTTGCTCTTTGCTTTCTACCTTACCAGCCTTCCCCTTGACTGAATCGGAGCAATTCCCTCCCCCATGTTCAACAACACCTCTTCTCTGACATTTTCTCTCACTAAATCAAGCAATGCCTCCATTAAGCCTTCCGGCAGCCCCTCTCTCACCTCCCAGCCAACTGGAGGTGCTTTCATGAAGCGTTCCATATTTTTTCATCCCTGGAGGTCTTTAAAAGATGTTTAGATTTAGAGCTTAGTGATATGGTTTAGCGGAGGACTTGTTAGTGTTAGGTCAGAGGGTGGATCTTGGAGATCTCTTCCAACCTAGATGATTCTGTGATTCCTCCTTGGCTGACAGAAGGGGGCAAGTGCAGGGAAGGCAGCGCTGGGGCTGCAGAACAGCTCTGTGAATTGTAGCACTGCCCCTGCTGCGGTAGCATCACCCCAGTTCCAGCACTACCACCTCTCTGCTCCTCACTGTCCTGTGCAGTCTGTTCCCTCAGCATCCCAGGGGTGGGACCACGTGCTTGCCAGCCACCTCTCTGAACAGGAATTTGCACATCTGAACTCAAAACGAGTTTCAGAAAGCAGTATGTTTCTCTGTCTTGTCAGCCTGTGCCTAGAGAGAAAAGAACAGACCTCAGCTGGGCACAAGGCACAGTCTGGGAGGGGTGCAGGGTGCAGCTACCCTGGTGCATGGTACCTGACTGCGGAGGGTTGGCGTGCAGTGGTTCATCTGCTGCTGCGCCTCTGCAGGGGATGGCCTCGCTCTTGTCCCTGTGTGCACTGCTGTTACACCAAAGGGCAAAGGGAGTTCACTTTTCCCTCTTTTGTCTCTGCCTTTTCCAGACTTTCTGGTGCCTGGGTGAACGGAGGGGAGAAAGAGCCGCTGCTGAGAAAAGGATCTGCTCAGATGCCTGGGTTATACAAGTGAGGGAAACGATGCTTTCTCTGCATACACAATCAGGCCTGGCATAGCTTGGCCTCAAAGTGGAGTTGTTGAGTTAGTGAAATTTCCTTCAGGCACCAGAGCAGAAAAGGCAAAAACAGTTAAATGTTTTCCCCTCTCATCGGTCCTGTCCAAGACTTGCAGCAAGGAGTTGACCATTGCTATGTCAGCAAAACACTGCACTGGTGCTCCGTTTGAGGACAGGTCCTAGACGATGTTTCTCTCAAATTGTTGGCACCCTGCAAAGCTGATTACTTAGATCCCACAGATGTCACGGCTCTTTGTCTATCAGGTAAATATGTGCATTACCTCTAGAGTTTTCTAATGTTAGAAAACTGTAGTGTGGCTTCAAATTAAAAGACAAAAAGGTCTCTCTAGCACTGTTCTCACCCTGTACCACATCCTCAGGGAAGCTTGTCTGTCTTCCCCTAAACTTACCCTGCTAGTTTTCATCTCTTGCAATGTCAAAATGAGAATCTTAAGTTCCTCAGGCATGCAGCACACTGTGCATTTACTCAGCATCCTGTACATGTATGGTGTTTCCAGGTGTTAGCGCCAACGTTACCCTCAGATAACACGTACTGACCAAGTTGATGCGCTAACACCTGATGTAAATCCACTGAGCTCAGCAGTGTTGCACCACCAAATGTTTTGGTTAGTTCTGTTAAGTGCTATTGCTGGTTCTCTAATCAAACGGATGTCTGAGCTCTTCAGAAATGCACGTCACCATTGCTACCTTGGTTCCTTCACCGATTTTAAGCATGTTCTTAGAATGGCAGCGTTAGGTCTGTAATTACAATGTAGTATCCCTAGGGAGCTGGTGCAAGTATGTGCAGAACACTCATTAAGTGAATTTTCTTGTCTACACACGTAAGATTTTCCTCCATTTAAAAGACATACAAAGGCAAGCTTAGTCACAGACCGCTCATGACAAGTTCTTCACTGGATAATCTTGAGAGGGTCCTGGTCAGTTCCTAGAGGATAGATGCTGAAATCGGAGCCTGTCATTACTGCGGAGATCTGAGGAATCAATGAAGAGGAAACCACCTCCTCAGCCCTGCTGGCTGGGTCCCTTCAGGTCAGGGCTGAGGCTCACTGATGCTGTGGAGCACAGACACTTGCCAGTGCCCTGCATGCTCTGTGGGTAAATGCAGGACCTAACTTTCCAGTTCTCTGAACTATTAGCCAGTCTTCAAAATTTAATTATAAGCCAGGGAGAAATGAAAAAAAACGCACAAAGAACATCAATTCATATGCAGAGTGGTAATTGCATGTGTGCTGTTCAGAGGCAGGCTTCTCTTTGTGTCTGATTAAAAAATTTTTCTGTGAATTAATTGCTTGGAGAATATTATTTTCTAAGCCAGAGAAATTAAGGTGAACAAAACATCTAGAAATTGCAGACTATTAACTACCAGTGCTGCTCACCATCTGTATGCCACTTTAAACGTGCAGCAGTAGCTAGACACAACCAAACTCTCCCAAATTGCACCCTTTGAATGCTGCCTCGGCTCGGCTCGGCAATGCTGCTTGCTCTAACTTTGCCCGACTCATTGTGCCTGTCCTTGGGATCGCTGTAAGTCACTCTGAGGCTGGAAGAGCCGAGTCAGGGAGTAAGCCCGATGTTCCCCCGCCTGCTAAAGCCCCCATCTGTAAGTGCAGAAGGGATGCTGCAGGCACAGCTCCCTGCAGTCCCCACTGCCTCGCTGACAGCCTCAGACAGACCCCTGGGGGGAAAAACCTGCCGGGTCCTCGGCCAAGACAGGGACGCTGATATGATGCTCGTGTGGCATCTGGGCATTTGGAGCCGTGGTACCCGTGTGTGGCAGCGGTACCACACAGGTGTTCACACCGAGCCTGGAACTTCCCTTCCACCCCACTCATCTTGCTTTTCTCATCCCCTGCTTCCCCCAGCATCCCCGCCTTGTCTTTGTCCCCTTTCTAAGTGGGAGGCAGTGCTGCGGGTCGCACCGCCTGGAGGCTGGTGGCAGCGAGCTGGGACTGCCTGCCCAGCTCAGGACCGTGCTCAGGGAGCTCGGGGTGAGCATTTCCATCACCTCTGCGGAGCGCAGCCCCCAGGAGCTGACTTTCCCGATGGCTCCGGGCTCCCAAGCCCGCTGCCCGGCCAACCCCGAGCCTCGGGCAGGGCGCTCCGTCCCCGCTCCGGCTCCTCCAGGAAAGCGCCAGAAAACCCGCACCCTCGCACCTCTCCTCGCCCCCGCCGTGCCAGGGGACAGCCCCAGCGCCCCGCTGCCCGCTGCCGCTCCACCTCGCGTGTGGCGGAGGCAGAAACTTCGCTGCGGGCCGAGGCTGGGTGGCGAGGGGCGGGCTGCGGGCACCCCGGCGGCTCCCCCCGCAGCGATCCCGCAGCCCCCGGAGCCCGCAGCCGACCGGGGAGCGGCACTCACCTGGCAGCCCGAGGCACAGCAGCAGGCTGTAGTAGACGACGGGCGCGTACCCCAAGCCGCAGCCATAGCGGTGGTGCGCCAGGAGGGAGCCGTTGTGGAGGTGGAGGTGGTTGTGCTCCATCGACCCGCTCTCCCCGCTCGCCGCCGCCCGCCCGCCCCTCACGCGCTCGGTGCTGGCGGCGCGGCCCCCGCGGCGGGAGGAACCGGCACCGGCACCGGCACCTCACGGAGCGCCCCCGGCCGGGCGGCGCAGGGCCGAGGGGCGGGCAGGGGGCGAGGCCAGCCCCAGCCCCAGCCCCAGCCCCTGCCTCAGGCGGCCCGGCCTCGCCCCCCGGCCCCGCCGCTGCCACCCGCTGGACGGGGCCCGCCCGCCCCCGGAGGCGGGACCGCGGCTGCTGAGGCGCGGCGGGATGAGGAGAGGAGAAGGGCCCCTGGCACCGCGGGTGGGTTGGAGAGCAGCGAGCTGTTCCCTCACTGAAAGGCAGCAAACACACGGGAGGGTGTCGAGAGGACGCGGCCGGTCTCTGTTTAGTTTTCCCGGCGAGAGGAAGGAGAGGCAGCGGGCACGAACTGAAGCCCAGGAGGTTCCAGCTCAATACGAGGGGGCACTTCTGTGCTGTGAGGTGACAGAGCACGGGGACAGGCTGCCCACAGAGGTTGTGCGCTCTCCTCTGGAGGTGTTCAAAACCTGCCTCGATGCCATCCTGCACAATGTGCTCTGAGTGAGCCTGCTCAGCAGGGGTTTGGACTGGGTGGTCTGCAGAGCTCCCTTCCAGCCTCGGCCAATCTGGGACTCTGTGATTCTGTGAAAAAGGAGTTTTTTGCCAAGTCAGTGAGCAACCATCAGGGCAAAAGAAAAAGCTCTGGCAGGTTTTATTGGTGGCATACCTGCCCGTCAGCTGTCAGCCCTGTATTGTGCCTCGAAATCAGCTAGTAAGAAAGTAGTAAGCCCTGACATGAGGGGTTTCATCTGTAAAAATTGAAACCCAAACCTGGGGTTAATTACGCTGTCACTCTCCACCCCACAGCACCGCCTGGACTGCCAGCAGTGCAAGACGCCGCGACCCCCCCATGGCCTAAGGACACACGTGCAATTCAGGTGCGGCAAAGCAAAAGGGAAACTGGGATTTTGAAAATGTTCTCCACCAATTCCGTAGCATTTGTGTGTTTCAGAACATAAAGCACATGTAATTAATAAAGGATTTGGAGGTATGATTGTTATGTTAAGCTGGTGGAGCACAGTATTTTGTGCTACCGGTTAGCGGGCTGTATGGCTGACAGCGTATTGACAGGTGCAGGAGGTTGTTGGCTAATGATAAAGTAGGTGCTTAATTACAGTGCACTTTCATTGGGCAGAAAACAAGTTTGTATCATCAAATGTGTGTGGGGTTTAAGTCCACAGCCTGGTGCTGTGTGTGGGAAGAATCCCACTGATTTCTATGGCTGCAAGTACGTATGTACGTAATGTATGTGGAGTTTGTCAAAGAAACGGTTCTGTTGGGATAGGCATAAGAACATAATGTGTGATTTGTAAAACTAAGCAAAGATGTGGTCTGTGCATAATAATACAGTATAAAAGAGTGTTATAGATGAGAAGGCACCATTAGGACAAAAACTGACAGATCATTGAGTTACAAAGCAGAGGTATGATGTCTTTGGGTTTCCATGATCTTGTTTGAAAGGTGGTTTATTTTCTGCTTGGAAGAAGAGGGGGCAAGCAAGGCTCTGATCCTGCAAAGACTTGAGGAAGTTACTTTGCTGGGAGACTTAGTGAGATTATTCACATGCTTAAAATATTTAATAGAAGAGGACTTTTTGAACTGTGCTAAAACTGTTGTCAAGCATCTCAGGTTAAACATGCTGGAAAAAGAATACATTTTTCCTCTTCTTTTTCAGTAGATGTCTGAATGTAGCCTTAAAGATGGGTAGAGTCTGCTCATATGACCTGTAAGTGAATGCGTCCCCTTTAAAAAGAAACTTTTTGAAACAGTTCATTCACTCACAGAGTTGCATAAAACAGTGTATGTGGTGGGTGTGATAATGAGATATAAAGCTCTGTGAATTCAACTCTTCCTGTTTTTTCCAGATTTTTAACCTAAAGGTTTTCTTCTTGTTATTTGAAAAAGTATAGTTTCTTCTTGTGCTCCTGCAATACAGCTGATGAGGAAAGATCTTTTACTGCCTACTGAAAGTGAAGTGGTGATTCCTGGAACCTTTTCTTAGGCAGCGTAAATGCATCAGCAGGACTGAAAGCATGACTCACTGTTTTGACTTGAAGTTTATCAGCAAAGAAACATACAAAAGGAGGAGATGGCAGTGGAGTAGTGGCTTGGCACTCTGGTAGTGATGGTTAGAATGCCTCATACACTTGGTTTGCAGCACCGTGGGTCTCAGCTTCCTGATTAACACAAGTGAAATCCCACAGAAGCTAGAGGCTAAGGAAGTGTCTATGTCATCCATTTTCTGTTGTGCTTCTGCCACTGTTCTGTCTGGCCTAGTTTTAAACATCCTGAGCAATAGGACTTCCCTGGAGAGATTTCTATAATAGTAGCATTAGTTTCCTCAGAGTTAGAGTTAGTCTCCGGGGCACGGTTCAGGTAGCTGCTTGTATGCCAGGAACTTTTGGTCGTAAGAAAATTAATCTTTTCCCATCTCTCTGCTTTGAACTCTCACTCCAGTCTCCAAGTTGCATGGGACTCTGTTGCATCTGATGCATTTCCTTCGTATAATGGGAAGAATTGGAAAATGTGTTCATTTTCACTAACCTTTCCTCTGCCCTGGCCTGCAAATGGAGAGGCAAGAGAAAAGGATTTTTCTTCTGGTAGCTCAGTTAACTTGTTTAAAGCTCGTTGAAGAGCTTCTCTGCCTTCCTGCATGCAAATCTGCACAGAAACAGATATATTTCTTGGTGAGCCGGGGGCTTCTAATGCAGAATGGACCAGGTTTCCAGGTCTGATTTGCATTTGCTTCACTGAGGTCAAATTAATGAAATAATTTGGAATATGTCAGAGTGAAATCCCCAAAGTAAATGACTGTGAAGATTGGTCTTGTGTTCAGAGGGTAAAAGATGATTTGAGTTGTGTTTTTTTTTTGTCCTTCAAACGACTTCAAACAAATTCTTGGCCTAAATGAAACGGTTTTGGTTATTCTACTCTCTGACTTCTGCAGTAACAGAACCTCAGACATAAAGAAACATCAATAAAGCCAATTCAGAAGTAACCACAATGCTTGCTTCTACTTAAAGATGTTTATTTTTAATGTCCTCACTGTTTTATAGCCACTTTCCAAAGGGATGACATTTACGTGTATCATCAGGCCTGCAGTGAGAAGGGCAGTGGTCTGCTTCTTGGATAACAGTGATAGGAGAAGGGCTCTGGAGTTTTGACTCTCATCTCATAAACAATTGTGCTCAAACAATGAGTGATGTTTATTCTTTTCCAAAGAGCAGTTTATTCCTTGCATAAGAGGAGCTTATACTTTGCTTTTAAAATTCTAGAGCCACTTGAACTGCGTTAGGTTTATGTTTTTCAGAAGAACTGAGTCTCCCTACAAACTCACAAGCAGTGAAGAAAGCTCGAGTGACATGCTAGTCACATCTACCGCCTTCCTCTGAAGCTGTGGAGCAAGGCAGTGGTGACTTCAGGAGAAACGAGGAGTTGACTCAAGTCATCTGAAAGAACTAAATGTCATATTGTTGAAGGACAGTGGCATGAGTTTTGCTTGGAAGACAGCAAAGGTGAAAATGGAAGACTAACATGTGGTCTGTGTGTGTGAGATTGGGAGAGGCAGTGGAAAGGTTGGGGAGTCTCATAAAGGAAGAGAGATTGGCCAAAAAGGGGGTTAGCAGTTGCAAGAGGCAAGGGACATTGGCAAGAAAACTGGTTTATGGCCTGATCAAGGTTTTCTTAGCTATGTAGCAGTGATGGAGGGATTCATCTCAGAGCTACTGCAGAACAAATTATACCTGTAAGACTGGCAAGTCATAGATTATACTTCATTTCATTAGATGCTTGTATACAATTTTTCTGCAATTAAACCCTTTTCTTCAATATTTGCATCTTTTCTTACTGTTAACCTGCAAAACAATTGAGTCAATTGAATCAAATTTTACTTTGGGGTTAAATGACTGTCTTTCTCAGTAATGTCCTGCAGGTTTCTCCAGGCTTGCAAAGGGAGGAAGGCCTTCTAGCATTCTCATAAGAACCATTAGAAGGAAATGTCAATATGAAAGTTCTTTATGGGGACCTCATCAGTGCCTCTGAATAGACAGTTTTACAGGAGGGCAGTGAAGATTTGTTCATTTTTAAGGTGAGAAGTTTTTGTTGCTCTGTTGACTACTGCTAGGGGAAGGCTGTGGGACCAGATCATGAGTATGTCGTGGCTCCTTCAGCTTGTTCTGTTAATTCACAGCCAGCACCCTCGTACCACTTCATTCACAGCCGGTTTTGTACCACTGTAGACACCTGCTTATCCTTTGGCTTTGTAGCTCCTTGGAGACCTGAAGGTCTCAAACAGTGGCTGCAATGGATCCTTGCCAATCTGAGCCATCTGAAAACATGTTTAAAGCTGCTAAATGCTTTTTCACCCCTAAAAGTAAATGTTTATTCCCTGAACTCCCTTTTAGGTTTCAACTGAAAAATCTTATTGTAATTCATTTGAGCAGTATTACGAGTATATTTTCAAAGGGAACAGAAAGTAGATGTGATAAATGCCCGAACAGGAGATTTAACCTAGCGTCTGCTGTTTTAAAGAAGCATTACAAAACAACAGAGGGTAACCATGTTTTGTTTGGGTTTAATTGATAGGTGATACACCTGATCTTCCTTTGTATTCTTTTCAGGTCAGCCTGAAAATATGGGGCAGAAATGTGCATTGAGATAAACTCAGTATGACCCGTCCAGCTTGCAGTGGTTATGACAAATTAGTGCTATTTTTGCAACAGTCAGCGTATCGGAGGTGTTTCAGATAAAATTAATCCGCTAGTCACAATATAAATTAGACTCTTTCTGCAAGATAAGGAAGTAAGGAGAATCAATGGTGGTAGATACTGTTGCTCTATAGACCTAGATTCCATGCTTGTCTGATGTATGATGCTTAACTACAAAGTTAAGGGGCTAATTCTCACGTTTAGCATAAGCATACGCTTAAGTGCTTTGCTGGGTTCAGACATAAATAAATCAGGATTGAAATATAACTACTTGACAAATACTTCTGAAGATGGAAGCTAATTTGTCCTCTTCTCAAGGTGAAAAGAAAACATGGCATTCACGTCACAGAGATTCTTTGCATTTTTACTATCATTCAACTTTTAAAAATCCCAATAAAATACTCAAATACTTACCTTTTCATTTGGTCTTGAAATGCTGTATGGCTTAACTGTAGAAAAGGTGGCATGCACACAAACCTAGCAGTGCGCTGATGACAAATGGAGGTGAAACTTACTCTGCTACTTAGCAGAAGTGAATTTCAGCCTGTGAATACTAAGAAAAAGGGTAAAAGGGTGAATGTAGATCAGATTATCTTGTTTTAAATTAATTATACCTGTTACTTGTTCTAATTATTGCAAAATTGATGTATGTCTTTTGAAGAAATATTAGGACTATACTTCAGGATTTGCGATTGACACAGGGTATATCTGGGTTAGCAGCTGATTTTTCTAAGCCTCCTTTTTACTTTCCTGAAAAAAGAAAATGCTGTGAATTACCTTGTCTGTACTAGAATGCAAAAGCTATTTCAATTTGAATGCTGGTTACTAGCAGCATAACTAAACATTCACATTCATCTTACTAAACCCCATTAGACCTTATCTGAGGGTCAGATCACAAAATTACGTAGGGTTTAGTTTAGGGTTTTGCATGCAAATGACATGTTTAGTTCGTCCAGTTAAACTCACCCTCTATATCTCAAGATAACAGTACGATTTTTATTTAGATTTGGAGCTCTTCTTCCCTTTAAGAAAACATAATCCTTCCCCGTATCTACTTGTTGATGCCTTTGCTTTACTGGAGTAATGCAATGAGTGCCAGCCAAATCAATGCTCCTCTTCATGAGAGCAGGGAGTGTTTTCTATACGGAGCCGTCGTCACTGGCTGCTAACGA